CCCCCCCCCCCCCCCGCTACCGGCAGTTTCCATCGACCTTTACGGCGCTATAAAATCGACATCAAAAAACGCCACATATTGTCGGCATAACGTCACTCGATATAACTTGATATCGAAATTTAATATGCCGACTGAACATAAAGATAGACGTGGCCCGTAACTTGCGGCTTTAATTTTAAAGACCTCCCTTTTAAGGAAATTCCATGACTCAGTGCCGTATTTTCAACGTCGTATTTTCAATGTCGTATTTTCAAAGAGGCCACTCATAAGTTTAGTATTTATTAAACAGAATTATAAAGGTAAAAAATGAATAAAATAAAGTAAATAATAAAAGTAGCATGCTAACTTCAAGGAACACGTATAAAAAGTTTCGGTATATCTCGAGTGATTAATATTTTTCTCGTTGCACGGACAGTTTCATAATATTTCGATGTATAGGCAGTGCAAGTTGATATCAAACTCATATCACTTCTTTTCAAGTATAATAATTCTTAATCAAGACTCTAAATTACTGTTAAACTTTTAATGTCTCTCTTTTGCGATGTAATGTGTAAATCAATTGGCAATTTTTTCACAATTTTTTTATTTTTTTTTTTTGAAGTATAGGCAACACATCGTTGTCATTCCCCGACAAAAACGACCATGGATCGTGCGAAGATGCGTTCAATTTATATAGCGTTTAGCGTATAGCGGCGTAAGATTTGTCGCACCCAGGAAATACGCGCATGCAAACGGGAGTAGCCGCGTGGCTTGTGCAATTGGTTAACATTTAACGAGATAACATATCTCTCTAAGAGAGCAAGTATAATTACTTAATATCCCTGCGCTACACATAACGACACTAAACCGACGGAACCAGCCTGACAACCTCGTCGGCGGAGTCGTATATTCAAATAAGTCGTCGAGAAATCTTCCAATTAAGATCAGTCTTATCCTCGTTATTTACACCGAAAATACGACGTCTTAATCTCACGGCCGGTATCCGCGTAAGCGCATTAACATCCGCGATTCCCACGTATATAATACCCGTGCGGAACAAATTGCCCACCGTCTTTCCTCTCCCGTAAAATTCGATTCCGCAGCGTCACACACACACACATGTGGCTTTCCCGAAACAATCGATGCGTTCACTGCCATCACGCGTTTAAAATAAAGAGCGAAAGAGAAATTGAAAAACGAAGCAAAAACACGTACATACATACATATACATATATATACACGCGCCTGTGAAACATATTTGCAAAATATTTCGCACACAGCGTCGTTCGCGGGCGGCAGCCTGAGTGATTCTTTCGTCGCCGACACACGCGGCTCGGTCAACGCGTTGGTTAAAGCACAAAAGCTCAGAGCGTCGGGGAAACTAGCCCGATGCAAAAACCCGGTCGGTCGTCGTAATAACGTTGCGTACGCACGCGCGCACGCGTGGTAATCCGCTTCGTGTAACGTCGCCCGGTACATAATACATATAATGCACCGCTCGGCCGCTCGTCATAACTTGCGGCGGCGTTATAAGTTATATATAGGGGCCACAGATGTGCCGGCCGCGATTGATCCTATTACCATCGTCGTAGGTATCTATCTGTCACGTACGCGCGATCGATACCGGCCGGAATCTCCATTAAACACGGTCTGGAGCAGAACCGTGTACACATCCGGCGAGCGGCAAACTGCCGCTTCATTAAGTGGCGGCGGCGCAGGAGTAGGAGGAGGTGGTGGTGATGAAGGCGAAAGAAGAGGATGAAGGTGGAAGAAGGAGACGAAGAAGAAACTACGAGCAAAGGAGATCCATTGGGGTGGATATACGAGCGGTGACGGCGCTCGCTAAACGCTCGAACCGTAAGGACGATTATCTCCCGCGAGAGGAGTGTCCTTCTCTCCTCTCCGCTCGTCCTGTCTCGTTACGACCGACCACCGTTTTCCGCTCGCCTTACGCCGCGATTATGTGGCGCCGCCGTCTTGCGCAAATTGCATCGACTTAATCGGAATTTTCGAAACGGCGTTTCGCAAGAGGAGGAGGAGGGAGGTGGTGCGTTAAGATTTTCAGTGGGAAGTCCTCGTTGAATTTTATCGGAACGGTATTTTTTTTTCTCGTAACAAGTGTCGACGCGACCATTGGGCTTTATCTTCGGCTAAATTGGATCACGGAGTTTATCGGAGCATATTAGAGTACACATTGGAGCATATTATTAGATAACGGAACACCGTATAATGACGGCAATTAGGAATTCCAAAGAGAAATAATTAAATTTTCCTCTCGGCTGAGTTTCTGTCGGAATGTTGTGTGTGTGCGCGCGAGTGCGTGCGTGCGTGCGTGCGTGCGTGTGAATAGTGTAAGATAAATAAAAATTTCCCTGCGAAATGAATCTACAGGAACGAAAGTCAACAGTCTCGTGATATCTGGCATGAATATAAATTAAAAAACAGAATACAAATATATTTAAAGTTATTAGTTAATATGTAATAATAATATAACAATCATGTAATAATAAATTATGATTATGATGACAATGTATTATTACGCGCAAACGAGAGCCCCGAGCACGAATTTTCCGTACACTTTGTATCATCTCTCTTTCTCTCTCTCTCTTTCCTACTTCCTATTCTAAAATGAAATAAAACGCAAGGGAGCATGTGGTAAGGTAGCAAACCCGAGCTGTAGCCGCGCGATTTGAAAATATCGAGCTGAGAAAACGGAGTCTCGGTTGTACTCCGTTGCGCATCTCCTGGATTAACAAAGATTTGAGTCGTGTCGACGGAATCGAACGACCTTTCTCCCCCTTCGCTCGGGAGGAAATGAGGAAGAGGAGGAAGAGGAGAATCTTTCGATAGCGTTTATCGAACACACCGTCGCCCCGGCGGTGCAGCACGGGGGCACCCGTTGTGATAGGGAACGGAACGAAGCGGTGCAGAATGGAATAGAAGCAAAGCGAAGAACAATACCTATATAGTCGTCGGCGGGGAGGGCGGAGAAACGGTGAAAGAGTGAGCGAGCAAGCGAGAGACAGAGAGAGGCCCCGATGAAGTTTATCCAGCGCGTATATCCCCGTTTACGTATCCTTTGTCCGTGAGGTAATCCAACGGGAGAAGCCGGAGGGGGAGAAGGAAGAAGGGAGAGAGGGAGAGAACGAGAAAGACCGACAGAGGGAAGAGGAGCGACAAGGAAGGGGAAAGAGGGGACATAGAGGGGGAGAAAAAGAAAGAGAGAGAGAGAGAGAGAGAGAGCCAACGAGCGAAGGACCGGCGGTTTTCATGTAGAGCGCATGCGTGTGCGATTCGTATGTGTATGTACATGTATACGGTGCTCCGGCTGTCTCTCTCTCTCTCCTTCCCCGTGTGTATTCGTGTATAAATCTGTCGTGTGGTATACGAAGAGGCGCCTCACCAGCAACAGCAGCATCCGTATCCCTCCGAAGTAGACAAACTAACGCGGAGCTGCCGCGCTTCTTCTCAGTGCCTACGTCGATCGCGTCTTCGACGAAAAGAAGACTCCGTGCACACATACGCACGCACGCACAGGCACACGACACACCGGATGAGAGAACACACACACTCACACTCAGCCGAGAGGGAGAGAGAGAGAGAGAGACGCTGATAACGCGCGACGTCTTGAAGAACGCTACGCGAAAGTATCGTCACACTTGCGCCGCCGTTGCGCAACACACGAGTGCTGAACTAACGCACGGTGCACGCGCGCGCTGGCGCGCACACACGTAATGCACATATCACCGACGACGGCTGCGGAGGGAGGGAGACGCACACTCACTTATTACACACACACTGGCGACGGCTGCTTCTTCTTCTTCGACGCGTACATACGCGCCGGCGGCACCGCACCAGCCGTCGAGGCGAGAAAGGCGAACGACTGTGCGCGAGGAGGCTCGCACAAGGCACACACGAGCGACGACACACGGACACGCGTACACATACGCGCGCGACGAGCAGGACTCCCTCCCGGTGTGTAAGCGCTCCGGTCTCGTTGCTGCCGCCGCTACCACACAATCGCACACCGTCGGGGAACGATCGTTGCGCGGTCACCCGTGCGATCGATAGATCGCGAATGCCGCGTTTATCGGAAGGAACTCGAAAGGAGCGTCGATCGGCGCCGCGGACGGTCCGCGAGCAATGCCGGTTCTCTCGCGGCGAGTCTCTCTCTCTCGTAAACCGCTTCGCCGTGGCATCGACGGCTCGAGCGCTCGGCGTTTACTGAGGCATCGCCGCTCCCCTCCACCGCCGACGGCCAATACGACCCGGCAGTGGTGTAGCGCACGAGGGACCGGGCGACGGGTTCTCCGGCGACGAGCGGATAGCAGGAGTCGCGAGCGGAGATGTACCCGCGATCGATTTGTGAACGCGGCATCGATAAACCCTTGCGCGCGCGCGCGCACACTTAACACGTTGCAAAAAGCAAGCAGCGTGTATCGCGTTATCGGTTAAAACGCGGTGCACCCGAGTGGGTATTTTATTTAAATCGGTGAGCTCAGTGTAGTGACGTAGCCATACGCTCGCCTTCCAACTGGGAGAGACATTGGAAGGTACGAAGAGAGAGAGAGAGAGAGAGACCCGGAGAGATACCGAGGAATTCGGGTTCTCCCCAGACCGGTCGAAATAAGGCGCACGTCGTACAGTCGTGAAATTATCGGTACATGTGTGTATGAAATAAAAGTAAGCTCCGCCCGAACGGCAGGTTTAATCTTGACGGAAACATTGGAAACTAAAGTATTTCACGTATTTTGCGGTACGTTTGATTTATTTTTAAATATTGTCTAACTTATTGCAAGAATCAAAAACGCTGGTCGAGGAAATTAGTTGAAAAATTAAATAAAAATGCTTCTACCAGCCGGATTCGACCCACCTTGTGGAAGGTATCGTATAAATATAACTGCACGAACGTTGTTAACAATTTTTTAATATACGACACCAATAACCTTATAAGTGTACTTTGGGTCGGAAGCAATCTGAAAAATCGATTCACACTGTATGTGTAGCGCAGGAAGAGGAGGAGGATGAGGAGGGGGGGGGGGAGGTGTCAGCGATGGCGATAAGCACTTTCGATCGTCTCCAAATAAGAAAATATTTGGGAATTTACTTTCCCGGACATCCGATATCAGCGGTGTCTCGCTGTATTCGCCGCAGTGCGTACACGCACATTCACAACCCGCGATAAAACACATATTTATCAAGCCGTTAGAGAAAATTCAATACACGAGAGATCCTCAAATGTGAAAAGAAAAACGATGGAGGGCTTATGGTGAATGGGAGCGACAAACCGTTCCCCAGCGTTTGATGAGAGAAAACATTCGTGACTCACCTCCGATGCGATATATCGATAAGAGCATAATAGCCATGATATATCACGGGCGTGTGAATACGCGCTGCGAAGAGACACAACACCGGGGGGGACCGACGGATGAATACTGTTTAAAATCTTAGAGCCAATATCCCCTAACGGGCGCGCAGTCGCGAGACGGATGTGCATCGTGTACAAAGGAATAATATTCGCCGCTTCCTACCCCTTTTGGCGGCGCGACGTCGCGCAGCTTCCGTGAATGTGTGTGTTTCTGTGCAGCGCCGATATACCCGATTTATCAATCGCACGACGGAAATTCAATATATTAGATTCCGTGCGGATTCTACACCATAAAGCCCCGAGTATATACGAGTCGACGGATCGAAAGTGGGACGTGTCGCACTCTAACAAGGATGTGTCTAGAGTACAGCTCCCCTCTCCCTGCCCCCGGCATCCTGGCATATATCGCGCGGTATAGTCGAAAATAAGAGGGTATCTCGCGTTTGTCAGTTTCCGCGAGGAAAGTTCTCGATACTCCGTGAGCGTATTGTCTAAATCGGCGCTTTGCTGATCTTTCGCGCGCCGAAGCAGATATTTTCGGACGGAGACGTGAAAAATGCCGAAGCGCCAGGACCAACCTGTACAACTGTGGGGGGGGGG